AGATCCTGGCTTCAGCTTGCCTTAGCCCTGACTATTTCAGGCACTTGGGAAATGAACCAGCAGATGGAAGATTGATCTCTATCTTTCACATAGATAAATAAATAAAACTTTAATAAATAAATTGTTTATATTTTTAAAAAATATTTATTTACCTACTTGAAAGTCAGAATTACAGAGAGAGAGGAAGAGATTGATCCATTAGCTGACTGACTCCCTAGATGTCCTTAATGGCCAGTGCTGGGCCAAGCTGAAGCCAGGAGCCATGAGCTTCCTCTGGATCTCCCATGTGGGTGCAGGGGCCCAAGCACTTGGGTCATCTTTTGCTGCTCTCCTAAGTGCATTAACAGGGAGCTGGATCAGATGTGGAGCAGCTAGAACTCGAACAGGTGCCCATGTAGAATGCTGGCTCTGCAGGCAGTGGTTTAACCTGCTGAATCACAGTGCCATCCACTGTGTTTATAATTTTTATTCTAGGATTATAATGTTGTATTAGATATTTCCCACTGCCTGGAATGCTTTTATCCCATGGTCACATTTGGCTGACTTTCCATTGTCATTCAGACCTTAGAGAGATCCTCACTGAGGATTCATGTGAAACAGCTTCTTGTTACTCCCTTTCCCATTTTCTATTTCAATTTTCTGCACAGAGCTTATAGTCATTAGACATTTCCCTTCCCTTCCCTTCTCTACCCTCCCCCACCTTTTCTCCACCTTTAAGTTTCTGTCCTTGCTTAGACGTCTGTATCCAGGGACTCACAGGATTATATAACATTCAGGATAGCAGGAACCTTTTCTATTGGAGTTATCTCTATTTCTAGATCTAGAACAGGATCCAGAGAAGGTACACCATGAAACATTAAGTGAATTAATAAAGGAATGATTTATAAGTTTCCTAACATTCCATTGAACACAATATTGAAGTAATTATAATTAGTGAGTCTTCCATAGAGCACCATTTAATATTCAAATGAGTATATGAATGACTGAACTGCTACACCACTGCCTGCAGAGCCAGCATTCTACATGGGCACCTGTTCGAGTTCTAGCTGCTCCACATCTGATCCAGCTCCCTGTTAATGCACCTAGGAGAGCAGCAAAAGATGACCCAAGTGCTTGGGCCCCTGCACCCACATGGGAGATCCAGAGGAAGCTCATGGCTACATCCTGTGCTTCTTTGTGTGGTCCCTTATGTAAGTCTTAATAATTCCCTTTTCATTGAGGGTCTGTGCTGTTTTTCCAAACTCCTGGCTCTTACTTTGATCCCATTCCTGAGTCTATCCTGAGCCCCATCCCTGACCTCTTGTACTTTCCTTACCTGGGGCACATTTAAAGTATGATTACTTCAAAAATTAATGTGGTTACCTAACAGAGGCGTGTAAACACAGCACAGTTACTAGATATTGCCTTATTTTTTGAGTTTTGAATTATATTATCCAGTATTCTTTTGCCAATTCAAATATTAAGACGACAACTTCATGCTTATTAGGTCCTGGGCATATATAGATAAGAATGTGAAGTTCTTATCCTTGAGGAGTTCATATATCATTAAAGTTTGTAGATTCATAGGGACGTAATTTGGTGAGTTCAAAATGGTACTATAGAACATATAAACTCTTTCTTGAAAATTGCTCAGGAATTTGCTGAGAAGGTAAGAACGAGTAACCAGTGGCTTCTCAGGCACCAGGCTCTACTCCCAGTCATTTCTGTGCTGATACTTACCCTATACCAGGTACTTTGGAGCAATGAGGTTGCTGCTTAGTAGTATCCAGCAAATGGTGCACACTTAAAAATTTATACAATGAATAAACTGACAGTTTGGCATTTTGGTTAATAAAATTGCATGAAAAGATTCCTAGTGGGATGCACATGAGTAATTTTTTGTTGAAAGAAGTTCACATTTCCAACTCTAGGTGGAAAGACCTAGAGTTGGGGAGATCCTTGTGCTGAGAGACCTACTTCAGGGAACTGGGGAGGGAACCCACTGTTCTTTCTTTTCTTGGAGCACCTGAGGAGCAACATGTGCAGCACATAGGCAAGCAGGGGCTGAGGCAAGGCGGATTCAGGAAAGAAAAACGCAGAAAATGCAGAGATGTTTAGAGGAGGGGGAAGGGCTGTTCTGTTTATGGATAGGTGGGCACAGTGAATCTTCTTTCTAAGTTAGAAGTGTTGAGACGCAAATACTCTGTGAATTTGAATCATTGGATTATTACTATTACTCTTTGAAGTTACAACTTCTGAAGTGGATTTTTTTGCTGTTTCCCCCGAGACCTGATATTTGTCAACCTTGGATCCTGCTTTAGGGCAATTTGGCTTTTTTATTTAGTTTTTCTTAAAGAAAAGCACTGTCATTCTGCCTTCAAAAAGGACGTGTTTGTGATAGAAAAATCTTTGCCTCACATTTCTCCTGCATTGACAGAGACTGAACTCAGGGTGGAATTCATTTGTCAAGGCACGTTTGGAGAAGGTGGTACAAATATGTACCACTGTACTATTATAAATATTTTTTAGTACATGAAATTTAAATTTACTGAAAAATTCAGTGCATTCTAAGCAGGCACATTCTTGATGTCATGGATTTTGTGTGCTGTTTGTTTATTTATTTATTTATTTATTTATTTTTGACTGGCAGAGTGGACAGTGAGAGAGAGAGACAGAGAGAAAGGTCTTCCTTTGCCGTTGGTTCATGCCGCAATGGCTGCTGCAGCCGGCGCGCTGCACTGATCCAAAGCCAGGAGCCAGATGCTTCTCCTGGTCTCCCATTTGGGTGCAGGGCCCAAGGACTTGGGCCATCCTCCACTGTACTCCTGGGCTACAGCAGAGAGCTGGCCTGGAAGAGGAGCAACCGAGACAGTATCCGGCGCTCCGATTGGGACTAGAACCTGGGGTTCCGGCGCCGCAGGCGGAGGATTAGCCTATTGAGCCGTGGTGTCGGCCTGTGTGCTATTTATTTTTAACCCCAGTGTACATAAATCAATTCTTCATAGGGGCTGGCACTGGCACAGTGGGTTAACTCCCTGGCCAGAAGTCTGGCATCCCATATAAGTGCTGGGTTGATACCCGGGGGCTTACTTCCAATCCAGCTCTCTGCTGTGGCCTGGGAGAGCAGTGGAGGATGGCCCAGGTCCTGCGCCCATGTGGGAGGCCCGGAGGAGGCTCCCGGCTCCTGGTTTCAGATCAGCACAGCTCCGGCCATTGCGGCCAGTTGGGGAGTGAGCCAGCAGATGGAGGACCTCTCTCTCTCTCTCTCTCTCTCTCTCTCTGCCTTTCCTCACTCTGTGTAACTGACTTTCAAATAAATAAATAAAAATATTTTAAAAAATTCTTCATAAATTATGTTTATTATTACATAAAATAGAATTGTGTTTTTTTCTCCCGAATGTTATAGGATCCCCACATTGGGAAATTTGATCACAATGTCTTTAAGCTGGCTGTGACACAAATCTTAATGTGTAGCAGCACCGGATAAAATGCAGAGTTGGGCAAAGAATAGTGGTGAAACCCTGTACCTCTATGTATTGAGTGCTGGCAGCTCTGTCTGCTGGTCCACTGGAGTCTCAGTGAATTAGGAGACAAGAACACATGCTTTTTTCCACCCTCAGAAAGAGACCATTTAGACCAGAAGGAGGAAGTCAAGACCAGAATTGTTGTGGCACAAGAAGAAAGATCAGGAGGCTGAGAGATTTTCACTTTCTTTTTCACTGAGTATCATAGGAGGTAGAGCCATGTGCTGCACCAGGTGCAAAGATCAAGTGGGTAAGTAGGGATCAGGGTGAAGGGGAGACTTGTGTTTTTTCTGGAACCTTGACTCCTAGGGAGGTCTTGGCTGCTGGAGAGGTGACCTGATCTCCAGATAACTGAACTTGCTCACTCACACTGGCCACAAGACAGGGCTGTGTGGGTGTATAGTACATATATAGGTTTATGACACATGACGAATCAGGATTCTTGTTGTCCAAGACATTACTCCATTATATTCACTTGGAAAGGAAGCAGCTAAGTGAAGAAAGACTATTGCTTTAGCAGCAACCACAGGAAGAATTCAGAATGACAGAAATGTAGTTACAGTGGCACTTCGATTAATAAGACCCATAGGAAACATGCTCTTTTACAAGGAAATCATCATGTTTGAGAAAATACAGCACAAAAACCATTATAAATCACAGAGGTGCTTGTACATGCTATTACTTGACTGGAAACAAAAACAAACCAACAAATAAAAAATCCAAGCAATCAACCAAAAACCTGTTCCACAGCTTGTGTTGTCTCCTAACAGCTTGAGGTGAATAAATAATTCTTTGGGCAAAATTTCTTTTCAGCTGCCAGTCTTACCTTCCTGTACCCTTCCTAGGGGTCTTCCCATGTATTCCAGCATACCCCGCCTCCTGAACCCAGTGATCATTCACTCCTGACTTCAAGGTTTCTTCTTCTCACCGAAATTAAGAAAAATCTAAAAATCCAAACCACTTATCCTTACTGATTATTAATTGGTTGTATTTTAACTCAATGTGTCCATAAGTATGCTCCCCAAAGCATAATTTTCAGATGTCAATAGGTGTCATGTAGTCAAAAGGAAAAGATTACATGTCAAATAGGATGGGAAAATTCTAGTTTGGGCAACTAGATTGAGTTTCATTGCTGTAGGAATTCTCAGATGTGTACATATGTAAATTAGGAATCATGAAAGGGTATATAGTATTCAGTGTTTTGCAAACTTGTTCAATCATCTTAGAATGTTTTTTTTTTTAGTACATTAAGGAACTGATGTTTGTGTGATACACTCTGGGGAATTGTATTTTAGCAGAAACTCATCCATGTGTATCTAAGTGTAGCTCATCTAAACAATTTGTTAACATTTTATGCCTGTAGTGGGTTTGTAGTGGCCCTGAAAAGTAAGTCCAAGTTCTCACCCTAGTTTTTTTGAATGTGACCTCATTTGGAAATACAGTCTTTGCGGATGATATTAAATTAAGGATCACAATATGAGATCTTCTTGGTTTTAGGGTGTGTCATGAATCTGCTGATAGTATCCTTAAAGGAGGTTAAAAAGGAGAAGACACAGAAACATCTGTGGTGAAGAAGGCCATATGAAGATGGAGGCAGAAATCTGTTATACTAACACAAGCCAAGGATCATTGGGAGCCACCAGAAGCCAAAAGAGGCGAGTAGAGCCTCTCCCTGAGAGCCTAGGAGTGGACACAGGCTTATTGACTCTGATTTTACTCTTCTAGTCTCCAGAATAAGGGAATCCATTTCTCCTGTTTTAAGCAATCCTGGGAAACCAATACAATGCCCATTGTTTCTAAGTGTGAAGTATGGTGGCTTGGACTTTGGCCTTTATTTTTAAAGATTAGGCATGGGGCAGAAACTTTTTGAGGACAGACTGATTCTATTTTTTAGTCACTGAAAACAAAATTCAGTATTTTTGATGTGGTTGCTTGAGGGGCGGAATATATTAGAGAAAAAGAACCATGACATTCTATCCCAAAAAAGCTGTTCTTTTACATTTTTGGTCCCCTTCTAATGTCTTCTTGTTTGGGTGAGGCGTCACTGCATCCATCTTGTCGTCTTCACCTTCCACAACCAATCAGCCATAAATCCTGATAATAACTCCCCAATGTCATCTTTTTTTAAAAAAGATTTATTTATTTAGTTGACAGGCAGAGTTACAGAGGGAAGAGGAGAGAGAGGGAGAGAGGGAGAGAGGGAGAAAGAATCTTCCATTCACTAGTTCAATCTCCAAATGGCCACAATGGCTGAAGCCACAAGCCAGGAGCTTCTTCTGGGTTTCCCACATGGGTGCAGGGGCTGAAGGACTTGGACCATCTTCAGCTGCTTTCTCAGGCACGTTAGCAGGGAGCTGGATTGGAAGTGGAGCAGCTGGGACTTGAACTGATGTCCATATGAGAATGATGGCCCTGCAGGTGGTAGCTTTATTCGCTATGCCACAGCGCTGCCCCCGATCCAGTGTCATTCTAATCTATCCTCTTATCCACCTCTTCTGCACCTAAATCCAGGCTTCATCACATCTTGCTGGGGTGCCACTGGGATCTCCTACCTGGCCTCCATGCCTTTTCTATTGTTGTTCTGCAAAACATTTTGCAGCCAGGGTATCTTATGCATTCTTCACATCCCCAAATGCCACTTAAAATACTATCATACCTTTCTGGTTCTCTTAGATAAGGGTCGATATCCTTAATCTGTACTATAATGTTACCAACCCTCCAAACTCATTTCTCCATTGCCTGCTTCTCTCTGTTTTCTTTTTCCTATTAGTGAACTTTTGTCAATTACTCAGAGAAGTTTGTGCTACTTGTCACAAGGGCTTCCCTCATGCTGTTTCCTGGGACTGCAACATCTTTCTTTCCTACCTCGTTTCATAATTAACATTCACTCTTCCTTCACCACCTTTTTTTAAATAAAGATTTATTTATTTATTTGAGAGACAGAGTTACAGAGAGAGAGAGGAGAGAGGGAGAAACAGAGAGAGAGGTCTTTTGTCCGCTGGTTCACTTCCCGAATGGCTGCAGTGACTGGAGTTGGGCTGATTAAAAGCCAGCATCCAGGAGCTTCCTCTGAGTCTCCCATGTGGGTTCAGGGGCCCAAGCACTTGGGCCATCTTTCCTTCTTTCCCAGGCCATCAGCAGGGAGCTGGACAGGAAGTGGAGTAGCTGGGAATTGAACTAGCACCCAAATGGGATGCCAGTGCTGCAGATGGAGGCTTAACCTACTATGCCACAATGCCAGTCCCCCTTCACTTCCTTGATCAGTTATCATTTGCCCAGGAAAGTGTTCCCTGGCCTTGATTATGACCAGTTTTCCTTGTATCATGGTTCCTCTGTTAGCAGTTATAACAGTTTCACTGTTTGTTAGATTTGTTTGTTTGCCACCTACTGAAATCTATGCTCTTGAGAGTAGGGGCTCAATAAATTTTTTATAAGTGAATTCATGAACAACAAATGGATGAGTGAATGAATAAATGAAATCAATGAGGTAATGAAGAGAATGAATGAACAAAGTTTGGTCCAGCTGACAGTGTTGTAAGTCTAGTCCTTGCAAGATATGAGGATCACAAAATATTACTTCCTCTAGAATCTGAAAGTTTGTGCTTTTCAGTCACAAACAAGAGACTAGCTCTGGCTAGGTGAAGTAGAAGAGATCTGCTGAAACACAGTGGCAGTTCTAGAAAACCAGACTTGTAGACTCTGCAGTCAGCACAGTGCCCATCATTGTGTATACATTTTTTTTGTGGAGGTGCCATCATTACTACCACACCCAGATTGGATGATCTGTGCTGCTGCTTGAATCATAACTCCTTTGGAATCCAGTTGTAGCTGCTGTTTCTGCTGCCATTTCACCAAAATTATTTCTATGTTATCCCTTTTTCTTTGAGTCCCCAATTTCCTTTTCTAAGTCTGAGGTGGAATTTCTAAGTCTGAGGTGTTTTTAGCATTTTTAGCTCCACTAATGGGAGGTGAGGTCAGTCTTACAAGGTTGGGCAAATACCAACCATGTTAGGAGTGTATAGATGTTGAAGAAAACAAAGATAATGATTGTTTACTGTAACCCACTTGACTATACAATATTAACATACTTTCCTCCATTATTTACATTATACAATAAAAACTGTATCTGTCTGGTGAAGTTATCACACTGCATATGAGATAAAGGCACATCAGTTACTACATCTACCTCTAAGCCAGCATCTCTGGTTCTATCATGTCATGACTCAATATTCTGAACTAAATTCTAAAGTTTACTACTACCACAACACCATATGTAAAAGAGTAGGAGAAAAGTGTACAAAAAAGAATAAAATCATATAAGTAAATACATGAAGCTACAAGTCTACAAAGCTATGGTCCTTGTTTCTGTAACCAATCATCAGGCTATAGCTGAAAATTTAATTTTCTTTCTCCACTTGCCATTTTAATGATTCTTTTGTGTTCATCCACTTTGGCTGATCAGGATTCTTTACCAGCATTCTAGATCTCCATTACTTAGGGATATAAACCCTCTCTGTATAATGTTGCTATTGTCTTTTAGTGAATTTTACTACTGAATATGAAAGTAGAATAAGGTCTCACGGGGAGAACTTTCCTTTGTGAAAGAGAAGTCCTGCTTGCCCTTAATAAGTAGAATCATTCATGCTAATGAGCAACCTCTTTTTTTACCATTTTGTCTTAAGAGCTCCAAATTATATATCTCTATGCCCAAATCGTTCATGTCACTGTTGTATCTCTGGTGGACAAAACCTCTAAATCATCATTGCTCATGTGGAGGAGATGAGATGCAGACATTTTGAGATGAGTTGTTAAGTATAATAATGTGAAGTTCAAACCAAATTGCTTTGAAGATCCACACATATTGACAAGGGGAGAAAAAATAATATATATTGATTTCTGGTTTGTAGTATATATTATATCACATTGAAGGCATTTTAATATCATATGCCAGTGTCTAAAATGAATCTTTAATAGGCCATTCCATTGTTCCACTATACCAACTGCTTTTGGGTCATGAGGAAAGCAGTTAAACTGGTGAATCTCATGGGCATTGATCCTTTGTTGTATCTATCTCATTGCAAAGTGAGTTCCTTGATCAGAAGTAACAGCACATGTTATATCATGATGGTGATTAAGTCCATGGATAAAGAAACTACCAGAGAAGCACTATGATCAGGAATAGAAAATATTAGCACAGAGTAAGTAAGGGCAAAGTAATCAGAAATACCTTTCCCCTATGTGATCAAAAGGGTACAATTACCTCAAATCCATTAGGTGGATGGCTAATTCCCCTGGTATATGGTATCACAGAAGACTTAGTGTTGATCTCTGCTACTAGCAAGTACAATCCACAGAAATGCAACAGTGTTAGCCTTGGTGAGAGGTAGTACATATTGTCGTATAACTTTAATTTCTGTCTCTATAGCCACCTTGTTCATGAACTCAATGAGCAAATATGGGTTGGCAGGGGAAGGAGACTAAGAAATACCTTTTTATAAAAAGTCTCCTGCCCTAGGGCATTGGATCATCATTCACAAAGGACACAAATATTCTTTTAACCTAGGGAATTGATTCTTTCATTCTGACTATCTGGCTGAGCCATTAGCTGTGGCCCATACATGATATCTTTGTTATTTCAGGTCTTCTCTGCTTCTATGGAAAGTGGCCCACAAGAAGAACTAATCAAAGTACCAACTGCAGCAGCTCACTCTAAAGAAGTTATCTGTAGGGCCTGGTACTATGGTTTAGTAGGCTAAGCCTTTGCCTGCAGCTCTGGCATCCTCTATGGACACCACTTTGTGTCCCAGCTGCTCCTTCCAATCAAGCTCTCTGCTTGTGGCCCTGGAAAGCAGTGGATAATGGCCCAAGTGCTTCGGGCCCTGCATCTGTTTGGGGGAACTGGAAGAAGCTCCTGGATCCCTGCTTCAGACTGGCTCAGCTCCAGCCATTGTGACCATTTTGGGTGTGAACCAACGGATGGAATTCCTTTCTGCTGTCTCTCCTTCTCTCTGTAACTCTACCTCTCAAAAAAAAAAAAATGTCTGGAAATCATGTAAATCAGTCTTGAAACATCCTCTTGGTCAACCAGCCCACAGAGAATGTCTCTTCAGATTTTAAAATTCTATTTATGGAGAGGACAGCATCCAGCTTTTAGGGGTGAAGCTTCAGTGGTGGACACATAGGAAATTTGAGCCATCTACTTATATCTTTAAGATACTCTCAAACCTGATTTCATAAGAAGTCCACTTGATAATGGGGTGCATTGGGGCATCTCTGTATTAATGGATTGTTGAAATCTGGTGGCATCTAGTTTGAATATCTTAGTTTGCCATGAAATAACACGAAGTCTCTATCAGGGCTCAGCAGCAAGTTATGAGCTCTTTTTTGAAGTGAGAATAGTTATTTAACAAACAGTACAGTATTTCACCATAAAATCCTTGGGGTCACTTTTTGTGTTTGGGATAGCTGTACAATGTCCTGTGGTTCTCTAGATAAATCAAGTGCTGTTGAGTCTTCTGGGCTAGATCTCCAGTGAGGCCTCAAGTTCTACTCACTGCAATCTCCAGCACTCCCAGGAAACACTGCAGAGAGAATCCTCATGTAGGTCCTTTTGCCTTTCCTCCCTACTTCCTACCCCTTTGCCTTTCTGCTTTCCTTCTATCTATTGCATATTTATTGAGTTCTCTATAACCCCATCTGTGCTGCCTGACCACAGAAAAACCCTGCCTCTCACTTCTCAAACTTAATGCAATCCCTGCCCTTTTCTTCCTAAACCCCAAGACTCTCAGCTGTAACTTTTATAATTCTGACACTTTTGACATTATAATAGTTAGCACTTAATTCATTTTTTAGTGCTGTAACTCTTCCTTATTCTGGAGTGCTGGAACACATCAGTAACTCTCCTACATCCCTTGACCTTTGTCACAAACTTTCAAAGTAGAAGAAATGTGTTGAAGCTACACGTCCTCTTTGTTAATGGAAGTGTCACATACTGAGTTGAATTTGCCTTGGAATTTGGGATTTTGTTGAAACTGGGCTTTGTGATATATAATAAGTGTAAGGCACCAGGGTTTCTGCTTCATTCTTCTTTGAGAGCTGCTCCCTCTGAGAGCAGGGCATATGTTTTGTCTTATCATGAGCCCTTCATCAGAAAAGGTGCTCTAGGTCATTTGGTCCTTGGCGGTATCACAGGAGGAAGGGCAGTCTCTGGCATCTGATCCCAGCTGTTTCTGAAGGCCTACAGAGATGGATCTGCTGTTGCTCCCAGGGCAGCTGTAGATTCATGGCTTCACTCGTTATGGGTTTACTTGGTTATTACACTTCATTACTCTTTCCTAAAGTCTCTTCTCTTTCTTAATTTCTGTTTCGACACAATGCCATCCCCCATTACACATCATTTGCGCATATTTATGAACTAATTTCCTGTGCTTCCCATTTCTTATGAATCATTCATTTGGCCTTTGTTTATCCCTGGGAGTTATCATCTCTCTTATTTTAGTATTTTGACTCCATCTAAGACACCCCTTTCACTTTAGTCATAACTTTGTGACCTTCTGAGTTCCCAGACTTGGTGCTTCATTTTCAGAACAAACTCGTAGATTCATGCAGTTTCTTTGCTCAGTGGAATAATAGAATTTTGTCCACGTACGTAAGGAGTGGGGTTCATCCGACCTGGAGAAGATTATAATATAAACCTTTTTTTCTAATGTGCTATTATTTTGGTTTGCCCCTTGGTGCATTTTATAATTATTAGTTTAGTTTCCAGTTTTTTTGGGGGGCATGATGAATATCTAAGTTGAATGAGTTAGCATTTTTTAATGTTGAGTTTTGTGTAGCTTTATTTAGTCTGTGTTTCCAAGGTTATTTTATGCTTTTTGTATTTTATCTTTCCTTACTGATCTTTGCAACATCTTTCAGCTTAATAACATCAGGAAAATCTCATTAGCTTGCTGATCACTCTTTTCCCCAGATCTTTATTAAGATATAAAGATTTAACACCAATTTTCTCAGCACCTGTCTAGTCATTTGAATTTCACACAAATCTTCGAGACAAAATGAGAAAGGACACTGTAGGTACGTCTGTCAGTTCTATTAATACTTTACCTTGCATGTCATCTGCATCTGCTAATTTATACAAGCTACTTACATTCTCTTTTTGAATATTTATTTATTTATTTGAAAGGCAGAGTTACAGAGAGGGACATATAGACACACACACACACACACACACACAGAGAGAGAGAGAGAGAGAGAGAGAGAGAATGAATCTTCCATCTGCTGGTTTACTCCCCAAATGGCCAAAACAGCCATGGCTGGGGCCAGGCCAAAGCCAGGAGCTAGGAGCTTCTTCCGAGCCTCCCATGTAGATTTAGGGGCCTAGGTACTTAGGCCACCTTCAGCTGCTTTCCTAGGTACATTAATTAGCAGGGAGATGGTTCAGAAATGTATCAACAGGGACTGGAACTGTCATCCATGTGCAATGCTGGTGCTACAAGGGGCAGCTTAACCCACTGTGGTACTTTGCCAGTCCTGCTAGTTACATTTTTTTAATTCTTTCTTCATTTCTTCTTTTTTTTTTTTTTTTTTTTGGTCAGAGGTTCTTTTTATAAGATTATCACTATTTATTAATTGTCCAAATTTAGAATCTCTCAATGTAAAAGATAGACCCTCTCCCATTTCCATAAAATGTTGTAGAAGGTAGGAGACAACAGTCATCAAATTCTTATTGTGCTTTCAGTTGTTACTATTGTTTCATATAATAGGCAGCACCCCATATGAGGAGTTTTTTTTTAGTTTATTTGAGGAATATAAACTTCATACATTTTGTGATGCTGTCATTATGCCTAGGCAAACCCCTAAATCCTGTGTCAAATTAGCATTAGGAAAATACCAGCAAATCTTCAGCCTTGTAATTCTCTTGGTGATTGAAATTAATTTCACCTAAGTGTTTATAGTTTTTTTTCCATCTGTAGGTTTATATTTTCTTCTTTCTGTGTTGACTAATAAATGAATTGTTAATTACTACTAATAATTTATTATAAATTACTAATAAATTAGTTATTGCCAGGCTGCCATATCACCTGTCATTAGTGCTCTGGTAGTTATTTAGGTCATAGAGTAAATGTTTGAGTAAATGGCTTTTAAAATACCCTCCATTTACAACAATCTGCTATTCTACATTTGTTTTTATAGTTTGGCCAATAGGTTGTTCACATTTTTGGCAGATTGAAATTTGTGAGTGAAAATGTTTTTGCTTCTAGCATGGACCTTTTCCAAACTAACAAATGCTCTGATCCCATTGTGCATTCTGATTTCAAAGAAGAGACAGTTACTTACCCAGAAGAACTTATTTTAACCTACGAAGGCACAGGAAAGCTTATGTTGAATTGATTGTTGTTCTTTTGGTGCAGGTTTCACTCTATCCTTAGTAATTGCTTTTGGAAAAGACACTTTACAGAAAAGCAAACTATTGCACCTGAAGATTGATTACACCTTCTCTTCTATTTCTCTGTCCTTATCAATTTTATGTGACATTTGTGAAAGTCAATATACTGTTCATTTTTCATATACTCAGCCACGAGAACCTTCAAAAAATAGTAGAGTCTTCCCCCATCCCTACCCAATGACTATTGAACATAATGCTTATCACTAATATTTTCTAATATGTATACACATTTTTAAAAATCTTTTTTCTTTATGTTGAATGTTATGTATTGTAATTTAAGAAATGCAGAAACTGAAAAAATAAATTTTAGGAAGAAAATAAAAAATCTATTGTTAATCTCACAAACTGGAGATAAATATTATTAAGGCCTTTTTGCAATCATTGATGAATTATGTGCTGAGATATGCAAGAATATGCATTCTTATTTTGGGAAACAAATTGAAGCATATTCACACAATTCTATGTTTATTTTAATTTATTAGTCTATCTTGTAGACACTCCTACATTGTATGTGTCAATACATGTAGAGCTACGTCATTCATTTTCAGGGGCTGTCCACTATCTCATTGTATTAAAGTCCATTCATGGATTTTTATCTTCTATTGATGCCTGGCTCTCAAATATTTTAGAACAAAATGTGGCACTTGGAGTGAGTAGGCATTTAGCCTAGTTGTTAAGATACCTATGTCCCATATAGGAGTGCCTGGGTCCAATTCCTGGCTCTGGTGCCTGACTCCAGCCTCCTACTGATGCAGACATTGATGAGTTTCTACCATCCATGTGGAGAGACCTGGATTGCATTCCTGGCTCCTAGCTCTGGCTCCACCCCATCCCTGATTATTGCTATTTGGGGAGTAAATCAGAGAATGAGATCTCTCTGTCTCTCAAATACTAAATAAATAAATAATTAGAATATGGCACTGAATATCTCTGAACCTATATAATTCTATCCAAACGTGACTGTATCTTTAGGATTAAGTTATATAAGTAAAATACAGTGTCAGAGAGGGAGCATTTGTGAATTTGATGGATGTTGCCATGTTGCTATGCTTAGAGGTTGTGGCAGGGACTCCTCCCACCAACAGTGCCTGCTTTGCCACACACTCAGACTGTCAAATTCTTTGGGCCTCATTATTCTGACAAGTAATACTTATTTTATTATTAAATTTTCACTTCTCCTTGTGAACAAATTTGGACATCTTTTGTTTAAGAACTCTTTCAATTTTTTTCATGTTATTAATGGTACCCCTTCCCCCCTGCTATGGGATAATTTTTAAGATTTTATGTCATCAAATTTATCAGTATCTTTTTGGTGTGGCGTCTAGATTTTGTATTTTCTGTGGAAATAACTTCTTCCTTGCAAGATTATATATAGAAACTTCTATTTCTTTTTTACACTTCATTTTAACTCTGACTAAATTCAGAAGCATTGGTTAAAGTGATTACTTTTTTCTCTTAAAGGGCTACCTGATTGAGTGTATGCTTAAGAAAATCCATCTTCCTTTCCTTGTTTTGATCTGTCTTACAGAGTAGCTGTAATAGTTCACATTCTCCAATCCAACATGCGAAGTGAGATACACAGCAGACTCATAGAATGGCAGATGTCCTAAACAGCACTCTGGCCTCAGAATCAGCCCTTAAAGCATGCAGATCTGGCTGAAAAGCCCATGAGAGTATTTCAGGCATGGAAAGCCAAGACACTCTGGCAAAAAAAAAGGACCTAAATGAAAGATCTCCACGAGTGAGATCCCAGTGGAAAGAACAGGTCATCAAAGAAGGAGGTACCTTTCT